AAAGGGATTATCGTCAAAGTCTTACAAGCATAAAGTAATAAGGCCACAAGCAGCCCGATCAACGTTTAAAAAAAAAAGACAACAATATCAAAGCTCCGAAGGAAGTTAAGGTTGAGCTGATGGGATGACGGGAAGTCCATCAAGGGGACCAAGCTCCTCACCAGTGACCGCATCCTTCGCTACAGCAGCAGCCTCTTTTTCCCCAGCTTCTGCTTCCAAATCCTTCGCTCCGGCAACGGTCTCCTTTTCCAAATCACCCTCATGCATAATTCGATCTTGCGCTTGTTGCTCCGCACTCATCAGAGTCCCGTATTGATCGAAGAGGGCTATGATCTCAAGCTGATGAGGGTTCAAAGAGGCAGGTGCGGTCTCATTCTGAGGAAGATTCGTGGACATCAAAGGAGGAGGAGTCATCTTAAAATCATCATCAGTAACTTCCTCGACATCCAAGGCTTCGAAAGCCTTCTCAAACCTTTCAAAGTTTTCCTCAAGGGATTTAAACTGATCATCTGAGACCGCAGTCCCATCTTTCTGAAGACCGATAAGGTAGTCCTTGATAGCCATGGCCTGGTTCATCAAAGCATTGAGTCTGCCCGCCTCCTCGTTATCCAAGATCAATCTCTTAATCCAGGAAAACTTGGCATCGCACTTCGCGATGATCTGATTAACCTCGTACCTACGAGAAGCCCGTAGGCGAGCCATCTCTTTCTCGTGAAGAGCTTGCAGAGACTCCTTCTTTGCCTTGATAAACTCGAGCTCCTCCTCGGCAATCTTTCTCCTCTGTCTCACCTCTTCAGCCTGTTTGGAGAGGTCATTCATCAGAGTAATCTGCCCCGCAATCTTTTTTTCAAGTTCGGGAACCTTCGCGGCCTCGGCCTTTGCAACATCATAATCTGCGAGCTTCTTCAGTAGCCGCCGAGTTTTACGGTCGTACTTCTCAATTATGAGGTTCCCATGAGTAATCATCTGCCAATAGAAGATCGGTGGGCAAGGGCAAAACAAAGGCAGAAATAATGAAAGAACACAAAATAACGAACAAGTAGTACCTCCAATACGCTCCCCAAGAATAACTGGTACGCATGCTTTTCGATCAAACTTTCCGGCTCAGGAAAATCATAATTCATGCTGTGCGGGATCCTAGAGCACAGCTCGGCACATGCGTGCGGGATTATCGCGATATGATCTGTCGATTTGAAATCGAACATAAGATCGTAGGGAGTCGGATTCTCCTCAGAACCCACGAAGGTAGCCTCCTCAGCCACGGTCTCCTGCGCCGACCCCGCGACATGCTGTTTCTTTTTCGACCCCTCAACAGTGACCTCAGAAGGTATTTTCTTTCCGAACCCCTTCTCTGGAACCTTCTTCACAGTTTTAGCGGGAGGGTCTGCCACGCGCTTCCCAGCTTTCTTTGCAGCAAGGGAAACCTCACTGGGCTTCTCGGCCTGAGAAGAGGCATGTTTGGACCACTCTTGAGCAGAAGCGGACGCCCCGGTTTGCTTCCCAACTGCAACACCAGTCCGCGTCTCAGATGTGACCGTTTTCTTACCCGGAGCAGGGCTCTCCTCAGCGACGTCAGAGTAATTAATCCTCTTATACTTAGCCTTAACCATGCTTCTTTCCTTCTTTTGGTGAGGTTTCCTCGGTTTGATCGGTGGAAAGATGTACGGTCTAAGCGGAGCGAGCTCGAGGGTGAAACAACCTGCCAGCAGATGAATAGAAACCGGTCTCAGTAAGCAACCCGGTTAACCAAAAACTGAAGTAAAAAAAATTAGATCCGAACTTGTCGTAATCTGTTCTCGACACCTCTGGATTCTCTGCTCAAAGAATTCTGGCCAAAAGCTGAGGCTTAAACTTCTTCAAAAAAGGAATCAGTGTCTTCTCACCGGGCCTCGGAGCGGTCAAGATTAGGCGTCAGTTCGAACAGGTAAACTCACAAATACATTGAAGTAGTAAGCCTACTGATTATAACGTTCCAGCCAGCCCGGATTTCCCATCTTGGGTTTTCAACCAAGGCCGCGTCAATCTTCACAAAGAAATACTTGAACTCCCAATTGTCACATTTGCCACTTGTGGAGTTTGGATCTAAACACGAACATCCGGGGCGTGCCGAGACATAGAAGCGACCTGAGGGCTTCAACCATTTCAATTGGGTCATCGCCTCGAAAGTATCGCAATTACATTCCATCCCATGCTCGGCAGCTAGGGTAAGGTAGACCGCGAAATTACGGATTGAAGCCCAGGTAAGCTGAGAAATGACTATGCCCCACCGAGCACAGTATTCGATCAATATCCAGGGCAGCGGAAACAACAACCCGCTCGTAGTGAAGAATGATTCGTACAAACACAGATACCCCTCTGGGGGCGACCAAGGACGGTCATTTTCTCCGGGCACCAAGAATTCAACGCTTTTTGAAAGATTCCTGGCAAACCGCATCGCCTCCAGCGATTCGCGAGATGACTCAGTCTTCTGATCAACGAAACGCACTAGGCATATATGGCAGCCTAGTCCTGGTTCCGGAGGATCCCGTCTGCCCGAAGTTGCAATTGACAGGCCGAAAGAATCGGGGTCCTCACCCGCCTTCCAAATAGAACCGCGCTGAGGCTGAACACGGCTATATCGAGCTCCAGGAGAGAAGGATCCGCCGATCTTAGGGACCTTTGAACCCTGGTTTCAACAGACTGTCGACCGGACCGCGGACCGTCAAACGAGCTAGATTCCGCATCACCCTCTTTCGAGATACGAGTTCGATGAACGCGAGCTATGATCTCTTCCTCCATCAATGATAAACTGTCGGACATGGATGCAGAAGACGAGCTGACTAAATTCTGATTGAGAAAGTTTTCACCGGAGGAATCGATCTCAATCGAAGAGTACATCAACCACAGAAGACAGCGATCTGCTCGAGGGAAGACCAAAACTAGGTCGAAACGGCGGAGCCCTTGAAGGTCAATCGGGAACTTGAACTAAGGCGGCGGACTCGGAGATGATGAGACAACGAAAAATAACTGACGAAAACTAGAGAGAGAAGGAGAAGGGAATTACCTTTG